TGTATTTTTTTAATTTCTTTTTTAACCGAACTTACCATTCTTATATTTTTTTTAAATACATTTACATCAAGATTATTGAATCATAATTTATTTATTCATTTTTTTTAAATGGAAAGTTTCTTTTAAGATTATGATAAATTCTTATTTACAAAAAAAATGCATGTAATAAAAAAACATGTTTTTTTTCAAAGAAAAGGAAAATGGATTAACAAGGAAAGAGATTCATTTTTCCTCATTTCAAATCAAGAGATTTTTTGCAGAAGTTTTTTTAATTTTTTTATGTTTTATTCAATAAAATATAAAGCTATTAAAAAAAATATGTTTTTGTGGCAAAAAAAATTACATGAATACAAATAGAGGATTTTGAATAAAAATACATTTTTATATAGAATTTAAATCATTTTATTTCTTACGATATCTATTTTAATTTTCATTTAATTAAATAAAAAAATTCATATAAGGCCTCACATAGATACTCTATTTTAAGGAGTTTTGTTTGGTGTAGTAACATTTTTCTATATTGAAATATTAGCTATATTTTCTTTTTAAAATCTGAATTCTTTTGGATCTATTTTATTATTTCTTGTTTCCACTATATATTTGTGAAATCTACATTCATTTAATTGTAAGGTAATTTTCACCTCCTTACATGTCAGAACCAAAAATATTACTTCCACCTGCTCCCAGGAAGAAAAATTATTGATAATAATAATAATATTTCTTTTAAAATTATTAATAATAAAATATTTAAAATAAATACGTATTGAAAGTGTAAAATGTATTACATGTGCACTTATTGTTGTCTCTCTTTCTATTGAACGAATTTATTTCAACTAATAAATAAAACTATATATATTTAATAGAATTTAATAAATATGTTTGACTTAGATATATATGATATAAATTGAAAAAAAAAAAAATTCATACTATGTAGCTCATGGTATTAAATCGAAAAAAAGAAAAACTATACATATATATATATAATGAATGATAAGTAGACTGGGAGCACTGATTATTTTAATTATATATGTGCATAATTAAAAACAAAAAAACCACGTTGGAATTTTGAAGGCATTCAACTGAAGCAATGGTTGAAAATGTAATGACGTGTACGAATGCCGTGTGGTTGAAAGTATCCGAAGAAAAAGACACGTGCTTTCAAGATTCTCAAATCTACAATGTCCCCATCAAGCTCTTTCAGAAATATCTCAATCCTTCAAAATAAATCATATTGTAGATAAAAAAATAGACTGGTAAAATAACAAAATAAATCATATTGTAGATAAAAAAATTGACTGGTAAAATAAATAAATAATAATTATTATTATTATTATTCTATAATGTGAAGCATTTACTCTCTTTTTTTTTAATTAATGAGAAGGGTTATTTTCAAATTAATTTATTTGAGAATAGAGATTACATTTTCTTCTCATTTGATCTTAATAACATGTTTTCACTTCAACTTAATATTTTTTTAAAAAAATTAATAGCTCTCCAAGAAATTGTCTTAACAATTAAGAAGACATGCTTCCGTCTTTAGCTTCTCAGATATTTAAGTTCATGATTATGGTTTTAAAATTGCAATCTTTTTTTTTTGTTATTTGGCTATAAAATATATAAATCACTATATAATTTAGCTAGGTGTTCTATAGTCCATTAATTACATTCTTCAGAAAATTGTTTAAAATCATTAACTTTAATACTTTGAGGGATAACACAGTGGTATTCTTTCCATTACTGTTATGGCTTACTACACCTACAATTACAAATATTAATCCCAATAACTTGTAAATATCAAATTAAATTAACACTATCAATCTTAATAACATGATATATTGATTTTTATTGGCCAAAGCTTGGATAGAGAGACTTTTTTTTTATTAATTTGGGTGTTTGAGTCCGCTTATACATATTTTGATTAATTTTATGGGTCTTGAAGTTAATGATCATATAAATCTCTAATAGCTCTAAGATTCATAGTACTCTAACTAACTATCTCTAAAAAATAAATTTATAACCTAACTAATAAAATTATATCTCTCAGAATTATAAATATGAAGATTATTCTGTGAGGAGCTTCTTGATAACTTGTACTCATTTTATTGATTGTCATAGGTAAAGAGAAGTTGTCTACAGAAAAGGTTGTACAATGCAATAATCTTGAGTTGATTATATAATAAAGGGAATTTACAGGAGCACTTATTCTTTGTTTAAGAAAGTATTCAAGAGTGTAATTGTTTTTAAAAATATATTTTACTAAAAGATAATATTTTTTTGTACACTTATTCATTTAAGGAAATTATATTAAAAATAGAATTGAACTTGTTGACACAGGATAACCCAAAGAATACGATGACAATAACTCTCTTTAAATGTTACTCTAAGGACAAGAATTGAAATTAAGCATAGAAACCACCTCCCGGCTAGAAAATCCTTATTCATGACAACTTACAGAGTCAAAATTGAAAAAGAAAACAAAGAACCATATCGATAAAGCCTTCCACACATGGATGTAAGCCATCACATGGAACGCTCGAATGGTCACTCCAATCATGCAAAGGAAGGGAAAATTATATGTTTTTCTTTCTTTAATTCGAAGCCATCTGAAAATTACAACTTATCCACTTATTATTGTCTAATCATTTATGCTTTTAATATTAAGAGAATTTATTAGAAAACTGTTTAGAAATACTATGCTTTTAATATTAAGAGAATTTATTAGGAATCTGTTTAGAAATATAATTGTAATTGTTTTTTAAAATGTTTTTATATAAAAATATATAAAAATAATATTTTTTTATTTTTTAAAAATTATTTTTGAGAAATTAGGAGTTGCACTCCCTCAGAATTATACTAAATAAATCCACTAATTTAAAATTAATTTGTGCATTTAACTTTTAAAAATTGAGTTAGTGTAGAAAATTTGCTAATAGGAGAAATTTAGAGTCATTTTCATCTATCCCTTAGGATTTAGAATTCATTTTCATGTAGACCTCTGAAATATGAGTTACTTGAAATTAGAGTCATTTATAGATTCACTTAGTTGCATTAAGGATTAATAGCTTCATATGAGATTTTCTAGTCAGAAATCATTCCCATGATTTAGATTTATACTAGCTATTTCATATGCGTTTTGTTACAAATCAAATATATATATATTTTTAAATTAAACATGCAGGTGTTTGCTACACATCTTTTTTATAATATTAAATATAAATCTAAAAGTTTATATACATATTTAATTAAATAAATCGAGAATCATCTATGTTAATAAATAAAGAAAAAAAATTATAAAAAATAATTAAATATATATCTTAAAAAATTAAAAAGCAAATATATATTAAGATATTTGATCTTGCAATATTGTTTAGTCACTTGATTATGTTTAATAATTCTACTTATTAAAATTATTATTAAAAAAATTGATTGAACTAAAGCAAAGGGAAAAACAAATATCTCGCAATGTTGCATTTATTATAAATTCTATTAAAAAATAAATATTTTTCATCTTTAAAAATAAAGTTCAATTATATAAAATATAAAAAGATATTATAGCTGAATTAGAATAATCTCCTTAAAAATTAAATACATACAAAAAATAACTATTATTTAAAAAAAGCTAAATACAAAGAATACAAAACTAGAGAGAAAGAGCATTAATTTCAATATAAATTAAAAAATATTTAAAAATACATTTTTTTAAAAAAAAACATGATTTTTTAAAAGAAAAGAAAAACTATGCATGATCCATTTAGATAGGGCCTACGCACTAGTCCTATTTTTCTTTAAAAAAAAATTGATTTTCATATGCCCTAATATTTTTTTAAAACAAAAATTCCAAACAAAATATAGCTTAGTATTCCCTAGATTTTGCCTATTGTAGTAGCCGAAAAAACAAGGTTTGTCTGTTTTTAACTCAAAAAACTATTTTCAATCTAATTTTGATTTAAAAAAAACAATTAGAAAAGAACTTAAACACCTTGAAAACCTCATAAATGACCTTAAAAAAAACAACAACACAAGAACCTGAAATTAACCTAAAATAACAACTCTTCTTGAGCTTAAATTTGGTTTTTAAGGCACTTTTAAGGTGAATAAACACTTAGATTGAACTCCCCTTACCAAATAGAACATTTTAACACAAAGATCAATTATTTTAGTGGCCAAAATTAGTGTCAACACTAATTTTTTCTTTTGTAGCTGAAATATAACATCCTCTCTCTCCTTTCTCAAATTAAGTATTAAAAAAATAAAATTATGTACTAAAATTGAATTGAAAAACTATCGAGGGATCAAAAAAGTATAATTTGTAAAGTTTAAGGACTAAAATAAATATTTTTTGTAATAACTTTGAAAACATCACCTATTGTGGTGCTTTTTTTACTTTGATTCTTCTTCTTTTAATTTTATCTTTAATCAATAAATTTGATTCAAATATTCTTTAAAAAATATGCAATTGTGCATAATAAAAAATACGAGGATCAAAATAAAAATAATAAAATTTTTAAAAATTAAATCCATGATAAAATATAAGAAAATAAACAATACATATGTGCACAGTGTTTATACCACATTGTTTAAAGTCTTTGTACCATTTGGTTACGTGGCAGCGTTCATGGTTCCTGCATTTTGATTTTGCAAGTTGTTTGGTTAATAGTTGACCTCAATTTTAACCACCTGGGTCCCACACAAATTTGTGTTCCAATCACAGGAGTAACTAAAACAACTCTGTCTTGCTTTTGCAGTGGCTGCTGTTCAGAAGATGCTGCAAACAATGACTTCCTTTGCCAAAAAAAGTAATTAGCCCTATCTATCCTCCTCCTCCATTGTGGCTTCATCATCTCTTGTCCTTCACCGATTCCCCTACCAAGCAAAGCTGGCATCATATCTCCTCCTTCACATCTTCCTTATTCTCATCGCTTTGTCCTCCTCTTCGTAGCTTCCCTGTCCCAATCTCAAACAGCTTCCTCCTTGCTGCTTTTCCTCTCTGTGAGCTTCCTGTCCCAATCTCAAACAGCTTCCTCCTTGCTACTTTTCCTCTTTATGAGCTTCCTGTACTCTCTCTACCATGTTTTCCTTTGTCATGCCCAGCTCACCTTAACCTCACACATTCACCTTGATTGGCCGATTCCCTACTTCCTACACTGTTCTTCATGCTCTCACACAGATTGAACCCAGTCACCAATGTTTGTAGCTGAGTGTAAATGAAGCCCATCTGCTACCGATCTGCTGCCTGTATGAACTCCTTTCGCAGTTGAAGAAGACACACACTCACCAAGGTAATTATCTTGTCATTATACCTAAAAAATTGCATATATCATGCCTTATCTACTACCACAAACATACCAAATGGCTTTCTCTAAATATAATTTTCTTATCTTTGTTTTGTTTGCTAGAACCAAATAGGGCATCAAAATCAGTCTCCTGGAAAGCTAAAGCACATGCAGTCTTACCAATCTTTGTTTTAATTGCACAAGTAACTTCAAGGTTAGTTGCTCTGTTTCGATTACACAAGTACAATTAATCTTTAATTTTCAGTTGCTGTGGGTTTTTTGAGAATTTACATGTGTAATTATTGAACATTTAGCATCAATGTCAGTTGCTGTGTGTTTTCTGAATTTACATGTGTGTAATTGTTAGATTTTTTTATCAGTGTTTCGGTGCAACAATTAGCATCATTGTTAGTTGTCGTGTGTTTTTAGAATTT